CCCTTACTGTCATGGCATGCTAGGCATTTCTTCTCCCATTTCATCTCCTTCTGTTCCTCTGTAAACCAAGGAGATCTTCCAGGAAGAGGGCAGCTGTATAGGCACTATCCATCCAAGGTCTCCAGTGCCTCCCCATTCCAGGCAGCAAGCAAGACTTTGTCTGGACGGTGAACCAGACCTTTACAAACAACCCCCTCTAGAGCCAATTGGGGCCTATAGTCACTTAGGGTTGACTATGGGCCTAATTAAATAGGTCCAGCCTCCATATGATGAAGAGGAGCCCCAGGAAAAATGCAGGGAAACCAGAGAGTAAACTCACTATGATAATTGTTCCCCAATTCCAGATCACAGCGCCACTGCCTCAACAGAAAAAACAATCTGGCATATAATTTTTGTCATGTGTCAGATCCTCAGTGACCTGGATGAGCTCTATGGCTGTCATAGTGGCCATGAACTCTTAAGCTATCTCAGACTCGTGTCATCAGAGAAAGCAGGTTAAAATCCTCTAGTACTACAAGCCTGGGAAACACCACCACTAGCCTAGCCACCGAGTCCAGGAGCTTCACCAGAGAGGTTGCTTTGCAGCAGGAACACTAGTTTAATAGCTACTATCCCATCTAATACTTATGGATATTATTAATTTGAATGACTCAGATGGCATTCCAATTTCCAAACTGAATGATGTTTCCAACTATTTTCAGCAGATGGTATTTCCAGTCTAATTAAAATCTCAGGAGAAAATATCATAATTTATTTTGATCATTTCTTCCACTGCAATTATTTTCAGTCTCTATGCTTTTGTTTCCTCTCATACATTCTTAACATATGGATGTTTTTATACACATATGGTTGCATTGTTATTCCCCTTGTCTTAATGATATCCTTTTAAATATTTAAAAATTGAAATATTTGTTCTCCTTCTCCTTTGAAATATTGCCAGTTTGTTTGCTCGACATACAAAATGTTATCAGAAACTCGACATAACATTCTAGGTGAGACAAATCTTTGCTAATCCTGTATAGTTCATTCCTTTGTTTAACATAGCACCTGCCTTTCTTGCAGCCAATTCACTCTATTGATTAATTCAGATTATAATTTGTTTTTTTACCCAGATCATTATTATGCCATTAAGAATTAAAAGTAGGGGAAGCAGCCTTAGCTTAACAGCAGACTACATGGTTTACATATATAATATCTGAAGCTAGTTTTAAGGAATTTCCAGGAACATCTAATACTAGTCAAACTATCTAATGTTAGCTTAGGTGGACCAACAATATGACTCAGAACAAGGCACTACTTTACATTTCCACTGCTTCTCTAATATGAACTGTATATTATATTTATGGATCAAATATATATAATGAATACATGTAGAGAAACAATATCTATGAATATAATTTAAATATTTGCAAGGTAAGAACAGAGTTTTTGACTTTCTACAATGAGGTCAAAAGCTAATATAATAAAAAAGAAATATAATACAGCTATAGGACTGAGACCTGGAACTGCTGCCGTACATACTACTTTTCTTGTTAGAATGCAGTTAGCTGAAGTTAACTAGTTGTATTTAATCCCAACCTAATAGTTTATCAATAATTCTAGTCCTGCTCACCTGAAAAGCATGTAAGACTCAGAATGTGTAAACCACTAATCTTAGCCTAATTGGGGACATCAAGAGACACATAAAAAAAAAAATCCAGGACGTAACTGCTGTCAACTAGAACTAAGAGGGCAATTCGGAAATAAACCTCCGTTTGGTTATCAATGACAGACACTTGCAGATACAGAACTTTTATTATACATGTTAGAAAACTACAAAACTAGAAAATTACATTACTTTTTGACATAACCACCATTCAAATTGAGGCACTTGTCATAATGTCTTACAAGGTTTGAAATTCCTTAGTAGTAGTCACTCGGCGCCAAATCTGGGCTATGGGGGGGAGGGTAATCAAAAACATCCTAACTGAACTGCTTCAAAAGTTCTTGGGTGTGTCTAGTGGTGTGCAGACAAGCATTATCGTGAACCAACACCACACCAAAAGTGCCACAGAAAATCCCACCAAATGTGAAGATGTCAAAGGAGTATTGCTAGTGACGTTCATGGAGCATGGTTCGACCATCAATTCAGATGTCTACTGTTAAACGTTATGAAAACTCAGAAGAGCCATCCATAACAAGCGTCGGGGCATGCTGACTTCCGGTGTGGTGGTGGTTCATGAAAATGCTCACTCACACACCACTAGACACACCCAAGAACTTTTGAAGCAGTTCTGTTGGGATGTTTTCGATCACCCCCCCCTGTAGCCAAGATTTGGTGCTGAGCGAATTTCAAATCTTGTAAGACATTATGACAATTTGAATGGCGATTATGTCAAAAAGTAATGTAATGTTGTAGTTTTCTAATATGTATAATAAAAGTTCTGTATTTGCCAGTGTCTGTCATTGATAACCAAATGGAGGTTTATTTCTGAATTGCCCTTGTATATCTCTAAATTTCTGTTTTAAATTTGATCGATTACTTTATTTGAATTTCTGATAATTAAAAACCTCCTGAATTAATTTCTTTGCATTGTGTCTTAGACTGGCAGCTTCATTAATAATAAAATATTGCATAGCTAGAATGTAACCTTGTCAAATGGCTATTGTGGATGAACTATCACTTGCATCTTTTAGAAGACTCAGAGTTTGTGCTGAAAAATGAATATGGTCACTATTTCAGTGGCATTAAAAGGTGAAGTAAAACAAAAATTGAGACAAAAAGAGCAATTATAGAATTTCATTCTACATAGTGATTAGCTATTGCTTACTATACTGCATGAGGCTTACAACCCTAAGTTGACCTTCCTTTTTCCTTATGGTGAAAAAAGCAGACAGTCATTAATTAACCAAAAGGTACCAAAAGCACTTACAGCAGATTCACAATGCTGAAGGTACTGTTGGCAAATGTCTGCCCAGTTTGGGAACTATAGCATGCACATATTAGTTTAGAAAATTATTATATTTAGTTCTACCTGTATTTCTATCTAACTATTTATATCTCGGGAGTGCAAAGCATTCCCTTTCTTCATATTGCCAAACCCAATTGTACTATACTTCAAGGATGGAAAACATGAGTTACTCAAGAGCTAGTACACTAGCACAAATCAATATATTCAGCCATATTTCTGCAATCAAGCTGTTCCTAAAATGGCCTTGTGTCACTTTTTATGAGACCTTGTAACACCCCCTACATTTGTCCTTGCAGAAATATTATCTCTGTTATGTATCTTATGCCTAGAAGATTCCAAAATTATTGTGAAAGATGCAACATTTTTTCTTGAAAGCAAGATTTCCATTTTCTCATCAACTTTTCCACTCTCTGGAACTATCAGACAAAGGATGTATTATCCTACAATGTATAAACTAGGTGATGTATCTAATCATAATACAAATGCTAATAGTTTAAATTTATTCCCTTTTGCTTCCAAATTCAACTAACCTACATCAATGTATGTTTGTATTGTTTACATGTAAGCTTCTTAAAAATTAGTTTCAATGCCACCAGATATTTTTCTTTAAGAGAGAAGATGAACATAGTTTTCATGTTGCATACAATAAACACTCATGAGTAAGGTACAATAGGACGCTGAAGTACTGTAATATCAGCATATAATCCAATGTTGATTCTGTTGTTACAGCAGTGCAAGCTCTAATTCATGTAAAATGGCTGACATGATATATCAGCCGGTCCTTTGCTCACACCAGACCTTTTTTTAAAAAAGGTTCTGAAGACTTTTTCCCTTTCTCAGCTGTGTCAGATGACACAGCATTCACTTTTAGTCAACTACTTTTAGAACTGCTCCAACATAATCTTATAATATAGCATCTTTAAATGGTTTACATGTCTTACCGTTTTCCTCTAAAATGTCTTGGAATATTTTTGTAGAAAATAGTATTATAAATAACTGGCCTTTCAATAAACAAATATGAATGAAACCAATCTGTTATCTACAGGGCAGACATTTTGAATGTTCACCCCCCCCACACACACACACACATCCTTTTTCAAATAAAAAGTGTGCTTAGGTCCAGTCCTGGAATTAAGTTAATTATGGCGATTATGGCAGCTCAGATATGCATTTCATGGACTGGCAGGTTTTTGCTCAGTCCTCATGACTCTGCATTCTCTTTATGGCCTTAAGTCACAGCCACTGGTGCAGGACATGTGGGGTGGGGTGGTATTTATTACCAATGTTTTTCCAGGCTGCATGTATTTCAGACGCTCACCTAACAAATAATCTGCTACTAAGAGTAAGAGTATCTCCGAAGAGCAAAAGCCTAGGACCTGCCCAAAGAGAAAGGGTGTCTCCCTCTTTCTGATGGATCAAGAAGAATGACGAATGATGAAAGAGCACAGGAGGCTGGACTATATCAAAGGCCTTATACTGGGTGTTTACTTCTCCCTCCCCCACCCCAAAAAAGCTCAAGCCAAGGAGATCAACCTTGGCATCTGATTATACATGGTCCACAAACAATTTCTTTTGCTAAGAGCTAGTACCCCACCATTTTCCATTTTCTTTTTTCTGCTACCCTTATTGGCCATGACATCACTCATACACACACATGGACGCTCAAGCCCAATGCTCTGCTTCTAATTGGGGAAAAAAATAAAAATATCCGGGATTGTGTTGCCTTTTAATTCCTCCTGGAAACAGTGGCTAGGTGCAGAGCTTGGTGACTAGACAAGCATACACACACACCACTGTTTCTCGACCTCAGTGAATTCAAAAAGGCATCGCCGGGAACGCGCTCCATTCCATTGTCTTCCCTTGAAACCCAGCCAGCGACGAGGAAGAACGATGCGCAACTAGACGCTGCATTCACTGCAGAATGCCTAAGATCCGTGGCTCCGGGGCCGCCCCCACCCACGCGGATCTGATCCCCTAGGAGCCAGCACTGCGAAAGAGGAGGGCGGTAGCTCAGGAATCCTACGGAACAATTCAAGGGCTGCGGCTTACCTCAAAGGCTTTCTGCAGTCCGTTCTCGACGGGGCGAGGCTGGGGCTGGCACTACCATTGGCAAAGCTCCGGCTGTGGTTCCCACCGGCTAGCAGAGCTGAGAGGCGTCTCGCGGTCTTCTCTGGCTTGTGGTACTGATGCTGCGCTCTCTGGGGATGCGCGATTGCTGCAGGTTCACTGAGCGCCCCGCCCACTAGCCCTGCCCGCCGTTTGATTGGCTGAACGACCAGAACAGCCTGTTGACCGCAACCACTAGGAGGAGGAGTTTGGCTTGGGTTAGGGCGGCCCTCTTGCTGCAGAACTGCGTCGTGTTGTCCCAGGGGAAAGCCGTGCAAAGTGAGGAGGGAAGGGGAAGAGATCCTTTTCTCCGCCCTCGGTAGGATACAAATGTACCCTACTACCCAAAGCATTCGGGAAATCTTTCAAAGGCTATCCCATCTTCCCTGCTGTTATTTTCTCCATAAAACCAGAAGGTACCTGAGTCATTCCCAGATCTTGCCTTGTCTATGCAAAGACCACACTAAAATGTTTATGATGCTTGAAAATTGAAAACATATCCCACATCACCCTTAAACACGCACAGACTGTATCTTGTCATAATTATCTATTATAGTCATTTTTGGAGGCCATCAAATTGTTGTACTGAATCTTCAAGAAATCTACTTATTCTGAATGCAGCCTTGAATTTTATATGTTGTATATGTTCAGGTCTGTACAATTTATTTCTGAAGGTAGAATTCAAGGCAGGAGGGGTAAATTCTAGTTTATATATCTCTTTCTCAAAAAGAAAATTTGGCAAAACCACTCAGGATTAATTATTTCTGTATCTAACAATGTCATATCCATCTTGACCAAAAAGCAATTCATTGAAGAAAAACAGTAATCTCAAAATAAAATGGTTCCAAAGTTCTAGACTAAGTTAAAATAGGGCTGAGGAATTTAACAGTCAGGCATCATATTGTTTAATTATTCCAACAAAATATGTTATATGAACACCAAAATTATGTATGTGACACAGGTTTCAGTTATCCTGAGTTATATGAACCCAAACAGTAAGTAGCAGTCTTTCCCCCACACAGCAGAAAAAAATGATGAAGAGGCCCTTCTGGGCAAGAAATCCCTGGAACTTTCTAGTCTGCCCCATCTCTGAGTTTGACTCTTTTGGGTTGAGAAAAACAGGGTAAGCTGCAAGGACAGTGGCTGTTTCCATCCTTTGCTGGCATTACTACAACATGCTTAAATGAATTAGTCCCATTTTTACAGATACATAGAAAACTGATGGCAGAAAAAGACCAGTTGATCCATTGAGTCTACCCTTTGAGTTTATTTGTTTTTTGTTTTCTTTTTAATTTATTTATTATTTTTAATTGTTATTTTTGTTTTTATTTTTCTTGGATGATGGATATGTGTTTATCCCAAGCATATTTAAACTCAGTTACTGATGATCGACCCATTACCTCTGCTGGAAGTTGGATCCAAGACCACTACTCTTTCTCTGAAGTAATACTTTCTACATTACATTACTCTTCTTTCAGTTTGAGATTATATCCTGTGTTCTTGATTTTTGCTTAATATTGAAAATGCTGCCTTCTAGAATTCTATTCATGCCATTAATATATTTAAAGGTTCAGTCTTGTCCCCCCTTTCCCTTCTCTTTTCCAGGCTGTACATATTCAGTTCCTCCAATCTCTCATGATATGTTTTGTCCCTCAGACCTCGTACCATTTTTGTTGCCCATCTCTGAACTCCCTCAATCTTAGCAATATTATTTTGAAGTGAGGTCTCCAGAACTGAATGCAAATGGATTCCAAATGGAATCTGAAGTCCTAAACAAACAAACTAGGATCTTCTTTTTCCTGCTGGTGGTATCTCTAGTGATGCATCCCAGAATTCTGTTTGCCTTCACAGCTGCTTGGCCACACTGTTTGCTCATTTTGTAGTCATCTGCTATGAGCACACCTAAATCTTTTTCTTCTATTGTTCAGTCTATCATTCTAATTTTAATAATCTATTTCTTTAATTTAATTAGATTAAAAATAATCTACTTTTCTGGCATATAGTACATTGAGACTTGACACTAACCAAATTAGCTACATTCTAGCCCACCCCATCACCTCATGAAAAGCTGTATTCACAATAACCAGGGTTAGAGAGTTGGGCAAACACAACTGGTTGGTCTTTAACTCATCTGGTCAAGCATTTTTGTGATTGTAGTTCACTTTCCCAGGGCATTGGCAAGATCCACTGGAATCAGTGGACAGTCAAATACAGCTAAATACTATTGTGTTATAGGAAAAAGAAGCTATATAACAGTAATTAAATGTATACAACGTGCCTCATGACCTTTGCTTGAGGGCCAGAGCTCTCATAGTCAACTTCAATGCTCCTAATCTGTCCATGTTGGTCACGAAACTGAGGTTGGAACTGAACCCTTTAATCAATTGTAATTGGTTACTTAGAAAGACTTAAACAGCATAAAGACCCATCATAGACCACCCATCTGGTCCCTTCTCTCATCTGCCCTCTCTGTCCCTGAATGAGGAAGTAGTGAATTTGGGGTCCAGCTAGTACACACCAACCAATGAATAAGGAAGTGAGTAGACAGAGAGGGTGTTCTTGCTTTTCTAACAAGCAACAGAATTACTCCTTCTCCTGCTCATTTTTCCATTTTTCCAAGCTCATACATTTCTCTTAGCCACCATTATTTCTTTGGTTTGGGCCCAGCTTCAAAATTATACTGAGCCACTATAGTTTATAAATCATTATTTACAGCAGGAGTGGCATCATAGCCCCACTTTTGTGACTCCATCCTATATCAAACCCAGGTCTTTTGTTTTATATTTTTATTTTGCTTATTTTATTTTTAAAATTTATTGGCCACCCATCTTACCGTAAGGTAACTCTGGATGGCTTACAATATTCATGATGCTAGAAAGCTTCAATGAAACCCAAGGCATATATTTTGCATTTCATTCCTTTCTTAATCTGAAAAATATAAATATCCTGCTTCTTATCAGGGATACCAATATGTTTCTGAAAATGCCTCTTCAGAGTCTATAAAAATGTAAATGAAAATCATAAACATTTTTGTTTTATGGTTTAGATCTTCTGATTATTCAAGAAACCTTGGTTAAATCAGTCTTAGTGTGATGTTTCATCCAGCCAATAAGAAAGAACAAAAGTGGAGGTAACTTTCACTTTTCATTTCCTCTTTTCTATGTAGCTCAGCTAAGCCAATTCCTTTGGTTGCATAGTTTAAAGATTCAGAATAAAATTAATAAAGTGGTTATTTCCTTTCTTGGCCAGTGATCTCACCACTGTGTGCCAGGAGCAGACAATGAAGCTAGGCTGGATTTGTGCTGTCTGCAACAGCCACAATGCTCCTCCACCATGTCTCATTTTCTTTTCTTTTTTTATAAAAGCCAGTGTGGGGGGAAAATCTATAAAGCAAGCTTGGGGTCAGCAACACTGCAAATAGATTTGGGAGTGGCTCACCTGCTACCTTTGTGAGATAAGTAACCACCTCACTTGCTACCTTTGCAATTGGGGGAGAGGAGAAAGGACAAATATTAAAAATGTGACTTCAGTGGTTCTGACTTTTTAGCACCTCAGTTCCTACTGACCACAAGAGGTCCATATAGATAAAGAGGTAGGGATTGTCTGTGTTCTCTCTTTGTTTCTCTCTCTCTCTCTCTCTCTCTCTCTCTCTCTCTCTCAGTCTTTGTCTATGAGATTGCTAATCTCATGGTTTTCTTTCTGCCTTTGTTTCCAAGGCATGAATGCACAGAGGAGCTTTTATCTGTGCACGTGCATGTGTGTATGTGTGTGTATGTGTGTGTGCATGTGTACACACTCACAGTTGCTGACTCTCCTGTTTCCCTCCTCCCAATGGATTTCCTTAAATAAACCTTTCTGTTAAAGTCATAAAGCTGTTTCACTAATTGTTCCTCACTAGATTTCTATTCTCAAAAACATCCTCATATTAAAACACCACAAACATGTATTTTTTCCAACAGTAAGATGGCAACTAAAACCTTGAAAGATCTCAATTTTTCAAGGCTTCCTAGGACTTATCTTGATCTTTGGAGAAATAATCCCTTGCTTTGCAGCTCCCAAACATCTGAACCAAAGGAAATAATTGAGAAATATCGTGAATTTAAAAATATTTATTTATAGTATTTAATAATAAAATGCAAAATAATTTGTATGTTAAATCATAAGAATATAATATACTGTAAGCAGCTTCATTATTTCTTGAGACAGAGTTATTGCTATCATGTTTACAAGTGTCTTTATATTTATACCATCAGAACAGTACAGTCAAATATATTGATGGTTTTGTTGATCTGGAACATTATCAGCTTCTTACTGGTTCTGATCCCTATAGCACCAAGAGTGGTAAAGTCTTTTCTAGTTCTCATCTCTTTCTTCTCCTCACATGAATTTGTCTCAATAGCAGTTCACTAATCAGACTTTTTGTTCAAATTTCTAGTTTCTGCACAATCCGTTATTTCTATTTAGCCATTCAATAAAAACTAAAGAAAACCAGAACACATGTGCGATATGAAACCAAGAGACCGAAAGGACAATTTGGTGAAAAGAAGAGATTAAGAGACATCAATAATAATTCTTTTCCCAAAAACATGTCCACTCTTTCTGTGACAGCTCAGTTTAGGGGCATATTCGAATAATAGAATAACAGAGTTGGAAGGGATCTTGGAGGTCTTCTAGTCTAAACCTGCCCCCCACAGGCAGGAAACTTTATACCAGTGATGGCGAACCTTTTAGAGACTGAGTGCCAAACTGCAACCCAAAGCCCACTTATGCATCGTCGAATGCCAGGTGGGTGTGGCCCATTGGCTGGGTGTGGCCAATTGGCTGGGCATGGCTGCGGTGGTGACGGCAGACTGGGTGGGACTAAAAAATTCAATCAATCAATTCCAACTTTGCAAGATCTTTTTTTTCCCTGCGACAAGTTGAAATTGACTGATTGAACCTTTTTTTTTTTTTTTTTGCATATGGCGGCGGAGGCCTAAAGCGAAAAGGTTTTATAAAACCCAGCTGAAGGCCTAGGACTGAGGCGATGGTGTGCATGCCCACAGAAAGGGCTCTGAATGCCGCCTCTGGCACCCGTGCCATAGGTTCACCACCACTGCTTTATACCATTTCAGACAAAAAGTTATCCAATTTTTTCGTAACAACTTTCAGCGTTGGAGATTTGATGACCTGAGTACATTCTCACGGATCCTGTTAGATAAGACTCCTGTTTGGGAGGAGAGAGAATACTCATTACAGTCTAGATAGAATGCAAAATCAATAACCCAGAGCTATTTGAAAAAGCATTAGCAATTTCTGTTATCTACTGGTGATATTTGCTGCTATCTACTGGTGATCTGGCATTCTGCAGGCAAGATCTGGTAAGCCCTTTTAAAGTGGCCACCAGCAGGTGTTTACAATGGTTGCAGTATCTTGGGGTCATGTGATCGCCATTTGCAACCTTCCCAGCCAGCTTCCAACAAGCAAAGTAATTGCGATTTGCTTA